TACTCTACCAAACCGTGCATAGTGACCTGTGTCTTAGCGCGGAGACAGTAAATTTCTCCCAGTAAATTTCTACACTACCAACGTCAAATTACATGCAAGCAATTATACAAAATTCTTCATTCCCCTATCCCGTCTTTAAGTGGTCCTGGGATAACAAGCTTCCCTCGCCATGCGCTTGTATTTACTTTTTACCCTTTTAGTAACCCCCTCCCCTCCCCCCGTCCGTCCCTGGGGTTGTCATACACTGTACATCTATTTATATATCTGACTTTCGTCTCTTCTAGACTTAAAGGTTTTAGTTTTCTTTGTCTTGTCTTGTGTGATTATTTTTTTACTAGACACATTTTCTTGATGTGTTTTTGTTTGCATTCGGCCAGCCATAACAGATGATATCTAAGGTTCTATGTTCTCTTGTTTAAACAAGGCAGGTAAAATTTGACTTAGGCTCCATCGACAAACATCTTAATTCAACAAGATGATACATGACAAAAAAATAACGCTTTACCTCTTTTTTATTATTTTCCAACCATTAACGTTGCCACCGTGTTTTGTCCACATAAATGCAACTGGTTCAACAGAGACAAAAACCGCTATTCAAAGCTTCATTTCATTTGAATAATCTGCATTGAGAATGTCCCTATAGAATTTTCAAATCTTCGACTCCTTTAATTTGTTTTTGACAGTGTTTTTGACCCAGGCGGCGTTTTGTAAACTTTTTTTATTTTTCAGCTACGTTTTATAATGTGCTTGTGTTTGCGTTTTGTTATTGCCCAACCGGTGAAGGTCGCTCGAGGGCGACATTTGAGCTGAACAGGACTTTGGTCTCTATCTAGAAATACATCTTGGAATTGAAGCACTGGATAAGACATACACAGTTAGATCTTTTGTTTGTATCTATTAACGTAAAGAATGTTCTGCAAATTTGCCTCTAAAAATGACCTTATTTTCTAATGTTTCAGTCATCAAACATCTTTTGCATAAAGCTGTTTGAAGCAACAACGTTTCACGGGTGTCCGTTTTAATTGTAAGATGTAATATTTTTTTTTTTTTTTACATGCAAATGTAAAAACATTTTCTTCCACACCTTTGTAAATAGCCCCTAGGTGTGACCAGGCCTGAAGTTTGACGCTATTA